TATATTTTCGTTCAGACAATTACATGCGTATTAATTTGATAATATACTATCTCGCTTGACTTTCAAAGGCCATAAATCGCAATAATGTTGACATTTTACTCAAACTATCGATAGAAATTAGGAGATATTTCTTCACTGAATCGAACAGTGGGATTTCCATATAGGCCTATCAGTCATGTTCTGAACCAAAGATACTTGATAGATATTATATACGACCCTCCAAAGTATAAACAAGGGGCCGGTTGATGCAGTAATTATCAAATAACAGTTAAACTCTTATATACCCGTTGAATATGTATAGTTGTAAACAAATAAAAACTATCGTTCTATAAGGTTCAATACTTTCAGTTTGGTTGTTGACTGATGATGAATCTATAGTATAGACTTGCATGCTTTGTATTTTGAGCTTATTAATTTAAACCACCGTTTTAAGGCAGCTAAACGGGCTTGGTTTATATTAACACAAAATAAATTCCTTGATTCTCATCACTAGACACAGTCTACACTTTGAAATGTCGAAGACAGTGGGAGATTTATTTTTATATTTTATATTTATATAATTTATATATCAATAGTTCGTATCTCCACGAACAAGGACAGAATGACTGAGTTTCTTTAAAATACAATGAAATTTCACTCAAAATTCTGTTTGTTTCAAATTGGAAGTTTAAAATGGCAATAAAAACTCTATATAAAATATGAAAAAATTAACTGTCTTGAATTATTTTGTCGGGCGGTACATTTATATTGTATAACAAAAAATAAAACGTTTTCACGAGGATTTTAAAATTCAGTCGGGCGGTGATGAGAATCAAGGAATTTATTTTATGTTGGCAGTTGGGACTTGGGGCAGCTTGGGAGTGGCTAATTTTGAATATTTACTTAATTAATGCATCTATAAATAGCGTTGATGCTTCAGGGGCGGTAGTTCATTTACACCCAGTTTTGCGGCAGGCGGTATTTCCTAAGTACCGCCTGCCATGCAGGCTAATGTTCTGCATGTAAAGAAGCTCGTTTTCTGCTGGCAGAATTGATGCCATATTTACATTCAGAAAGCTATATCTGCAGGTGTGATGTCATAATTACACAATCATAACGGAGATTGTATAGAAAATAATGACTGAAGATTGATGATGTATTGTTGCGCGAACTTAGTACTGTTTTCATGTATTTTACTTACAGTATTGAAGATTCTGAAAAATCCACTCAGAATCTTTACAAAGTACAAAACAACGGCAATTCAACTCTCGTGACAAAACTCAACTCTCGTGACAAAACTCATTGTTTTACTAGTGCCCAGGATCCTGGCCTGTGCTATAGTCTCATTTATTTTTTTTATTTCTTTAGACTCTAGCCCCAAAGCCAAAGCATTATTTTTGAAATGTTTGCTCGAAAACGGCCAATTATGCCGACTATCGTCGTAAGTGTCTATTATGCTTCTGAAGCCCTATTATGCTCCAAATTATGCCGCATAATTTACCCAAGCCTAGCCTGTAATCCATTAAGTTTCAGGTTGTCCGGAACAAGCGGTAGGAACTTTCCTAGTAGGAAGACATTCTGCCCTTAAAATAGAACCCTTTCAAATGAATTAAATCTTCATTCAGACAAAAATTTCCCTGTAAAATTTGCCAGAATTTTAGTATTGAAGCACACTTGCTCGGCTAAGTTGAATGCACTTAATTAATTAAACAAATGAGTTAACTTTCGATGCTATAACTATAACTCATTTTATAATGAGTATTTAAGTTTTGTCGCGCTCCAATATCCCTCGCTTCAAGTGACAAAAAATTCGTTGTGATATAGATATATTTCCTGACCTTCGGCATATTTTGACCCACAACCTTTAGCCAGCTCATTAATTAATCACCTATTGTGAGGAAGGATTAAAGGAGGTTGCGAAGTGTCATTTTTATACAGGGTGTATAAAAAAACACAACCTCGGAATTTCCCAAGAAATCGACATGGTTTTAAGATAAAAGATTTTAGGCGCCTGGGAATTTAAAATAGCAGAACTGTCAAAATTATTGCACACGCGAGTGCATAAAGCAAAATTTATGCATTTATTTAATGCACAACAACAGTAATATGATCTATTAGCAATTCGATTTCAATTCCCAGGGGTTGCAAAGTGATTTCTTAGGAAATTCCGAGGTTGCATTTTTTTTATACACCCTGTATATATAGATACTGTAAGCCATAGGCTATATCAAAAGCAATTTTTTGGTATAGGAATGGCGGGAATGCATCAGCGGCGCCATTCTCGTCCAAGTACCCAAGAAAATCCTGCAGGTTGCTGACTTGTTTGTTCCCGTTATCGGAACAAAATAATTTAAAATCAAACGCTACGAACCCCATCATTATCGCCGGTGGTTCGATACATACTTTTTTGAACTTCGCTACATTCTTGTGGTTGAGGCTTTGAAGAAGCCTTGCTTCCTTGAAAAACCTTTGTTTTTCATCAGACCTCGACGATTGTAGCAATTTCTTAACAACGACTTTTTCTGCTACTGTTTTGTGCTCACTCTTGAAAGAGGCAAGTAACACTGCGCCAAATGTACCTCTTCCAATCTCACTAGTATCAGAGAGATCAGTCAACAAAAATGTTTCAAGACCTTTCGTGAATTCTTGATAGGAGACCTTCGATTTTGAAAAAGAAGGGAGCTTAAACGACATCTTGTGGTGAATGCTCTAACAGCAAAGCATAGATCGGATCGGAACTAACAGCAAAGCGTAGATCGGATATTCGGATCGGAACTAACGGCAAAGCATAGATCGGAAATAATTTAAGCAGGCCTTTCGTTGTCACACGAGCAGGTGTGATACAGTATGTCATTTACATATCACTCTATTTTAGTTGAAATGATCAAAACTGAAACGCAGGCAGTATGAATACGCCAATCTCGAAGCGCTCTAACCAACTGAGCTATAGAATCCTGTTGTCGAACGCAAACCGCAAGTCCATGTGTATATACTAAGGCGATGCCAATGTAGAGGATTTTGGGCAATTGCTGGAATTTTTCTCAACTGCTCCTGGTTAGGGCCGG